AAATTTTGGGGAGGGGCTTAATTTCACCTTATGTCTAGAAAACATGCTGGGCCTTCCTATGGGGGGGGGGGCGAATTGTCGGAGAAACATGGTATTGAATGAAATAATGAATCTATTCATGATCCAGATAACTGAACAACACACGTCTAGGAGAGACCATCCTATTATCAGTGGTGGGATTCAGCCAGTTCACACCAGTTCAGAAGAACCAGTTGTTAACTTTCTGAGCAGTTTGGTGAACCGGTTGCTGGAAGAAATCATTAGGGCAGAGAACCAGTTGTTAAATTATTTGAATCCCACCACTGCCTGTTACACGTACTGATGGACACTCGGTGAATGTTTATTTCTTTCAGGCTACATCCGCAACACAAGCAGCATATCTCCACGAGGTTATTCCTCCAGCACAACCCCTCAGCAGTCTAATTACAGCACCCCCAGTAACAGCATGAACGGCTACAGCAATGTCCCCATGTCCAACTTGGCTGTTCCCAGTTCACCTGGATTTATTAATGGTTCTCCCACAGGATCGCCCTATGGCTGTGAGTAGCTAGCTTCCTTCTCTTCTCTTCCTCCAGCTCCACCTCACCTTAGGGCTGACTTAAGTTAAGAGGCAATCTGCCAGAAAATGTTTATTTCCTTTCTTTGGGTCATCTGCCAGAAGGTGCCTCAACTTTGTAATCAGGCAATTAAGCCCAAAATTTTGCAGAACAAGCTTGTTAAAAAGGCAGGATTGCTTTTGTCGACAGTTTGTGGTTATCTGCCACAAATGTATTAGGTGGCTTTGTCTCTCTGGGACTTTAGCTCTTGGTATCCTTCAGCATCAGCAGCTGGGAATCTAATATCTCACCAAAATCCATAACTTCGGTCTGCCCTGCTTTCCTCATTCTCTTCTGGTCTCCAATGCCAGGAGTGGCCCACAAGCAGCTCCAAGTTGCCCACAAGTTGTATTTATTATTATTACTATTATTACTTTAACTATAACAACCTTTTTGAAGTTGTGTATGGGAAGGGAGAGAAAGAACAGAGAGAATAAGAAGAATGTTCCCAGATGAGAAAGAAAAGGGGTACCAAAAGGAGAGGAAATATGTATTCACTGCTTGATTAAGCCTTACCTCCATTATCACAAATATCTATCAGCCGTTGTTCCTAAATTTTTGTCTCCTTTAATGCAAAAGGAATCAGTGTGCAGTTAATGTATTAGATAGGTGTGATTGGATGTTGTTATTTTCATGTCCACAATGCCTTGGGCTTAGTAGTGGTGGCCCCCTTACAGGAAATATGTTGTACTTATGGCTAACTTCTCAGAAAACTACAGTTCCAAGAGAGATCATCAAGAAAGAAGATCTTCCAAAGTGTTTTATCCAAAGCCCTGATGTGTGTGTGTGTGTGTGTGTGTGTGTGTTTTCAATCTTTTATTTATTGTCTTCCTTCACCCTCCAATTTTATATGCATAACAGTTTTTAATATTTGAATGGACTGCAGCATACTAGCCTGCAACTAACCAGGGAAAACAAGTAAGGAAACTCAGGCACTTTGTGGGACAACTAGACTAAGTACCAAGAGAACAGATCTGCAAAAATCAGATCAATATATGAAAGTCCCTTAAAAAAACATCTTTCCCATGATGATGTGTATGTTTTAAGGATAGTCCCAAATAACTTTCATTGTTCTATGAAAAGCAGTGCTGAGGGCTCCTTTTTTTTTTTTTTTTTGCTTCCTTGGAGATACTAGAGTAGAATGGGTTAAGAATTGAGGTTTCTTCTGAATATTGCTGGTGAATCATGGATTAGGACTGGGGGAGAAATATCTCATTGGCTATATCATAGAATAGAATAGAATAGAATAGAATAGAATAGAATAGAATAGAATAGAATAGAATAGAAACAGGAACAGAAAAGGAATTTGTCTTTGGTGCATCTGCTGTCAGTGTACATAAAGAAAAAAAATACATTCATCAAGAATCATAAGATACAACACTTAGCGATAGTCATCAAGAACCATAAGAGAAGAATCATACAGTGATACTAATAAGGAAACAAATCATACTAGGAAACAAAAAAGCAATATAAATTGTAAAGATACAAGCAACACAGTTATAGTCATAAGTGGGAAGAGATAGGTAATAGGAAGGATGAGAAGAATAACAGTAATACAGTCTTACTAAGTAGTTTGACAGTGTTGTGGGAATTAGTTGTTTAGCAGAGTGATAGCATTCGGGTCTAGTTGTTCTGATATGCAACAGGAATATAAATAAAGTATAAATAAATAAAATAAACAAATAGCAACAGGAACATAAATAAAGAGATTGCAGCTAGTGATTCTAGACTTTACTTCCAGTATTAACCACATTTAGGAAAAAAAAAAAACATATTATTTGAATGTGCTTTTTTGGTGGGGGGAGAGAGAGAGAGATCAGGAGACTGTGAAATCTAGTACTGCTTTAAGCATGAAGCCATCACGGTGACTTTGGGTCATTCTTAGGAAGGGGATCCTGGTGAGACGTTTCCAAAAACATTGCCAAGAATGTCAAATGGCCTTCTCCAGGTAGTCATGAGGAATCAATATTAACTCAAAGGCTAAATAAACAAGCAAATAACTGCAGTTTTATAAAACTTAGAATAAATTCCAACGAATGTGCTAGGATTGATTTCAGAGTTGGGAGGCAAATTAAAACAACATTCTCAAGCACCCTAAGAATACAGTGGATGAGATTAGGCATATTCTCAGGAAAAGAGGTGTGTGTGTCAGTGTGTGTGTGTGTGTGTGTGTGATGACATAGTGCAATATTTTGATGTAAAATTTTGAGGACAGATTTATCCACTCACTAGGAGATAAAGTCTCTCAAACGATTAGGCACTACTTCCTTATAGAAGACATTTATTAACCCGTGGCAGTATTGAATTGTTTTCCACACTTGTCCACACTTGTAGGATGAGAACATTTTGAATTTTTTTTTTTTAGTGGTAAGTTGCTTGTTTGGAAAAAAAAAAAGTCAAGAAGAAAACTGAAATGTTGATTGCTTTTGCACACAGAGTTTAAAGTTGGCCAAACGGGTGTTTGCTGGAGTTTCTCACCCCCTCCTTTTTTTTAAGGAAAGAGAAAACTTACACATTCTGAATCCTGGCTGAATTGTATGTGTCAAGTTTCAGTTTCAGAGAAAAAGAAAAAATAACAACAGCTGAATTATATATTCCTGACCATCAGAGATTAGAATGAGATGCTGACAGATCCTTGAGAAAAGTAAAATTAGACAATCATTCAAAGCTAGAGAACATATACAGCAATGTAAAATACAGTGGTGATTCTGTAGGTATAACACAGGTCAATGGAAGCATCTTAACCCAAAATGAAATTTGTTTGCTCGTTTTAAATATGGTCCAGATCTATCGGACCACATTTCCCGCTGTGACATATGGAGATGATGGCAAATGTAATCAGCTCGTGTAGAATGCATTAGGCTGGGGAAATCTGCTTGAAAATATTTGTTTAGAAATGTTAACTATCTTGTATTTCACAATATTGTGGACCTCCTCATTTTTCCATGTTTCCTCCCTTCACAGAACTTTATCCTGGCTCAGCTAACCCTGGTTAGCTCTTTGCCCTCATCTATCCTGCTTTGACATGTTTCTGTTTATGGTACATGGCTAACAGGAACAAGGAGTTTTTCTCTTCCCTGTTCATGAGCTGCTCAATGCAGATAGTTTACATTTTAGGAACTGATTCCTGATTATGGAATTCTCTTCTAGTTTCTCATCTGGTTCCACCCATTTTTATATGTTTTAAGAGAGATTTGAAAACTTACTTAACAATCTAGACCAGGGGTGTCCAACCTTGGCAACTTTAAGACTTGTGGACTTCAACTCCCAGAATTCCTCAGCCAGC